ACTCAAGTATGTGGGTAGCATACTCGAGTATCAGTTTGGTCAATAGTCAAATAAAGGTAGATTGATTATGTTTGTTGAAAAGGACAAATTTCTTAAATAGTTTTCGTACAGGGACAAATTGATAACTTTTAATTAAATAAAGGGCACAATAGTAAAAAAAAACCTAGTTTCAAGGTTTATACAAGCAAATATTTCTTTTTTGAGTATTTTTATTTCTATCATGTCAGAAAATGCTTAATTTGGTAGAGAAATCTTATTTGGTGTTCTAGTTGATAGTTAGAGATTATTCCATTTAGTAGTGTATTATCCTTTTAGGTGTTATTCAATGGTGAAGTTTTGTTGGCTCATCTCATTATTGTACGATACACGATATATATTGTGTAATACGATACAAAAGTTGAGCGATACGAATTAGTTGTATGTATCGAAATTGATCTTATATCAGATCATAAATCATTGTGTCGTTTTGAATCATATATAGTATCACAACTTATAATTTCAAAATCAAATCAGGATTCACGATTTTTAATTCAATTTCTTATTTTTGAAAAATTACTATTCTTAATTAGGGAAAGGAAATAAAATCACTATTAATTAAGAAAAGGAAATTTAAATATGATGCGATTCAAATTTGAAAATGAATATGAAAATTAATTATTAATTAGGAAAATAATCAAAAAAAAATTCAAATTAATACAAATCTCTTCAGTCTTAAAAAAAACTGATACAAATCTTAAAAAATAGAAATTTAAGCCAAACAAAAACAGAGGCTCTTGAAAAAAATTTCAAAGAGCTACAATACAAAAAAAAGAGAGAAATTGAAGGTTTAAAATACAATTTATATGATTATTTATATTTTTAAATTATTTTTTATTATATTTTTAAATTTTATGATTCGATATTATTCACTATGTACAATAAAAAATGGGGAAGATTATACTTATTATCTTTTTTTCTTACTACTTCTTACTACCAAATCTTAACTGTTGATTTCTGTTAATCTAACGATTATAATTTATTGGATTACACTTATTAATTAATTATTAATTACCAATAAATTAGAACGGTTAGATTGATGGAAATCAACTGTTAAGATTTGGTAGTAAGAAGTAATAAGAAAAAAAAAGGTAGTAAATATAACTGTTCCCATAAAAAAATATGTATTGAGATTCAACAATTTTTTTATAATTAAAACTCCGCACATATCAAACTCTATATCAGATTCCAATTTTATTTTTTGGCATTGATTCTCAACGTTTTTGCTTGTATCTTCTGTCTATTTTATCTATTATTTAGGTTTTATGTACTTTGGTCTGTGTACAGGTGAAGTATAGAGGGATATATTATCTCATTTGGCTTTGCTTTTGAGCTTTGACTGGTAGTACAACATGCAATTTTGTATTGTATTAGTATTACCGTAGTGGCTAAGGTCTCAAGCATGGCAAAACATATTTTTGGGTCATTCATGACATGTCATAGCCCAAGCTGCTGTTTGTCCACACATTTCCCCCCAAAAATGGCATTGAATAGAAGTACTCTTGCACGAGTCACCATCCCAATCTCAATAAAAGATATCATCCACATTTTATTAAAGATACTCATGGCAAAACACATTTATAGGTATGACTTAGATTATTATAAAAAAAAAATCTAATACGGTCTCTAAGGGCTATCAAGTTGCAAACTAAAGTTTATAAGTTCAAATTAAACTGAAATATAAAATATAAAATTTCTTATTCACAAAGATCACATGAAATAATATTTTCATTAACAACACATGAAATAATGTTCATAAAAATCATATGAAAATTTTCATAAAGATCACATGAAAATTTCATATATATATATATATATATGTATATATATATATATAATTTGCACTTTCTTTACAAATTTAATTCAATATTATATTTTAAATAAATATTTATTATTTGTTAAAATAACATCAATCCTATTACTTTCAAAATTAGTGTTACAAATCATGACACTAGTATATGTCTTTAAGTTAATAATATATATCATAAATATATTATATTATTAGGCTAGTCTGCAGGCTTTTAGGCTAGACTTTTTAAAATGGGGTCTATGGCCTAATTTTTAAATGAACTTTTCTAAAAGCCTAAATCTGCTCTATTTAGAAAATAGAGTAGGCCAAGCCAGGCCAGACCTAAGATAGGTCAGGCTGTAGGGCCCTGATAGGCTGTCTGGCTTATTTACATCCCTACACGTAAACATATAGACACAAATACATATAGACAAAGACACAAAAACACTAACTGCCTATATTGATTACCTCCTTGTTGAGAAATATAGTCTCACATTGGTAACAACTACCACTCTTGGGCTCGATCAATGAGTGTATCGTTGCTTTCAAAGAATAAAGTTGGTTTCATCGACGGATCAATAGTAGCTCCTGCATCTGATGATCCAACTTATGCTCAGTGGCAAAGGTGCAATACTATGGTTATGTCATGGATTCATAGATCTATTTCAGAATCCATTGCCAAATCTATATTGTGGATCAAGTGTGCTCGTGCTGCTTGGCTAGATTTGCGAGATCGCTTTGCACAATCTGATGTTTTCCGTATCTCAGATCTTCAGGAAGAAATTTACAAGATCCATCAAGGAGATAGAACCGTAACTGAATTCTTCACTCAGCTCAAGATTATGTGGGATGAGCTTGAGAATCATAAACCACTTCCAGCATGTGAATGCGTTCCTCCATGTGCTTGTGGAGCAATGGCGAAGATGAGAGCGTACCGTGACAGAGATCAGATGATTCGCTTCCTGAAAGGACTCAACGACCAGTATGCCTCAGTTAGATCTCAGATAATGTTGGTTGATCCAATTCCAAATGTAAACCGAGCCTTTTCCATGGTGGTGCAGCAGGAAAGGCAATTTGGAACTGATGTCAGTAATGGCATTTTAGCTAATCCACAACCATTTGTTGGTTACAATAATAACACAAGTTATGATCCACAATCGTTTGCTGGTTATAATAATAACATAGGTTATGGAAGAGGTCGTGGAGGTCCTAATCAATCCTATGGAAGATATGGCAGAGGCCGTGCAAGAACCTATGTTGGAAGAAATTCTGGAAATAGAATTTGTACTCACTGTGGTAGGACGAAACCACACAATAGAGACTTGTTACCAGCTCCATGGATATCCACCAGGCTTTCGATCAAGAAACACAGATACTCAACACGCCAGTAACAATGTGATCAATGCTGATTCTGATGAAAATTTACCTTACAACCATGTTGTTCCACCTCACTTCACTCAAGAACATTGTCAACAGCTTCTGTCCCTTCTCCAAAACCAGAACACGAATACTGATACACAATCCACACATGCTGCAAATATTGCACATGTTTCTCACTCTAGCACAAATCCTCCTCCAGGTATTTTACATAGTCAATGGATCATTGACACTGGTGCCACTAATCATATATGTCATTTAGTTTCTGAATTTTGATGTCTTCGAAAAATTACTCCTATAGCTATCATGTTACCTGATGGATCTCGAGTTGTTTCTTCCTACTCAGGTTCAATAGTTTTGTCTTCCATGTTGACTCTATTAGATGTACTCTTTGTGCCTGAGTTTCATGTAAACTTAGTGTCTGTTACCAAGTTATTAAGTTCTTTTCATTACTGCCTAACATTCACTGGTTCTTCTTCTCTCATAAAGCAGATACCCTCCCAAGTGACGATTGGTACTGCTGATCTTCGGAACGGGTTATATGTGATAGTTCATAATAAAGGAGAATTTCAAGGTGGTTGTGCATCAACCAAAATGTCCAATAGTTGTCATTCCAATAAATTGCCCTTCTCCTCAGACAGTCCATCACTATGGCATAGGCGTTTGCGACATGTATCAGATACCATTTTACATTCAATGTCTAGACTTTTTCCTTTTATTCAACCAAATGTTATACATCCATGTGATGCATGTCATATGGCAAAACAAAAGTTGTTACCCTTTCCTATTAGTCAAAGTAAAAGTGTTAAGGTGTTTGACATATTGCATACTGATATTTGGGGACCCTTTACTACAAAGTCTATTCATGGTCACAGTTATTTTTTAACACTTGTTGATGACTTTTCACGATTCACTTGGATCATATTAATGAAACATAAAGGGGAAACAAGAGAGCACATGAAGCACTTCTTCACTTATGTTGAAAATCAATTTGATACCCGAATTAAGATACTTCGCAGGTGATAATGGGTGTGAGTTTGCCATGAAAGAGTTCTTTTTACAAAAAGGGGTAGTTCATCACACTAACTGTGTTGAAACACCACAGCTAAATGCAATTGTTTAAAGGAAGCATCAGCATCTTCTTAATGTAGCACGTGCTTTATCTTTTCAAGCTTCCTTACCCCTTCAGTTGTGGTCTCATTCTGTAACACATGCAGTTCATGTTATTCTCCGCACTAATTCACCTGTAATCAATAACAAGTCTCCTTATGAGTTGTTGTATGAAAAGCCACCTTCTCTTGACCACCTTCGAGTATTTGGCAGTCTGTGTTATGCTTCCACACTGCATTCTGGACGTACGAAATTCTCTCCTAGAGATTGAAAGGCTATTTTCCTTGGATACCGAGATGGAACTAAAGGTTTTCTTTTATATGACCTTACCTCTCACACTTTATTTGTCTCCCGTCATGTAATCTTCTATGAAGATTACTTCCCTTTTAAAAATTAGCATACAGAAGCTACCTACCCATACGCTATCCCATCTGATTTACAATCTTTTCCTGACTTTGACCCCTACCATACCTGCACCACACCTATTATACCAGATATTGTACCTACCCTGCCCAACCCTACTACACCTACTGCTCCTCTTTCTCCCTTATCCGTGACTGACCCTGCCCCATTACCTACTACTGACTTTGACCGCGACATTGCTGATAGCCTTGCTCCATTACCTGTTGCTTCTGCACACATCCCTCCTCGCCGCTCTTCTCGTCTTTGAACTGCTCCTAGTTACCTCATGGACTATCACTATGGCCTATCCGTTGCACAGCAGGATCAGTCTCCCACAGGTATTACTTTTCCTTCTCCCAATGTTGTTTCTCATCCTTTATCCAATGTTTTAACATATGACTCATGTTGTCCTTCATATAAGGGTTTTGGTCTTAGTTCCATTGTTCACACTGAACCCCATACTTACTCTCAAGCTGTTAAGCATGATCACTGGCGTAAGGCAATGGACAGTGAGCTTTCTGCTTTATCTAGCAATGACACTTGATCTCTGGTTCGTCTTCCCGTTTGCAAGCAACCCATTGGGTCCAAATGGGTTTTCAAAATCAAGTATCGTTCTGATGGCACCATAGAGCGTTATAAAGCTCGATTGGTTGCCAAAGGCTTTAACCAAATCGAGGGAGTTGATCATTTTGACACATTTTCCCCAGTTGCAAAGATGACTTCTGTCCGGGTTCTACTTGCTGTTGCTGCTTTAAAACATTGGCACCTTGAGAAACTCGACGTTAACAACGCCTTCTTACACAGTGATCTCAACGAAGACGTTTACATGGTTCCACCTCAAGGCCTTCCAGTTTCTGATTCCTTTCTTGTTTGCAAGCTCAAGAAGTCTTTGTATGGGCTTAAGCAAGCCAGCCGCCAATGGATGCTAAGCTTTCTTCAGCCCTCGTTTCTATTGGTTACAAACAGGCCCAGGCAGACCACTCGATGTTCACATATGCTACCCCTGTCTCTTTAACGGCGTTGTTGGTGTATGTAGATGACGTTATTCTCTCTAGAGACAGTATGTCTGAGATTGAGCGTGTCAAAGACTTCCTTGATCGTCAGTTCTGGATTAAGGATCTTGGTAGTCTTCGATTTTTCCTTGGCCTCGAGGTGGCTCGTTCCACAGCTGGTATCACTCTTAACCAGCGCATGTATGCTCTCGAATTACTCTCTGATGCTGGTTTACTTGCCGCTAAATCGCAATCCTCCCCTATGGATTCTTTGGTTAAGCTTGCAAGAACTCAGGGGACTCTTCTTCCTGATGCATCTTCCTATCGACGTCTCATTGGCCGTTTGTTGTACCTCACTACCACACGTCCTGATATATCCTTTGCTGTACAGCAGCTCTCTCAGTTCGTGTCTCATCCCTCTAATGTTCACCTGGCTGCTGCGCATCGAATTTTATGTTACATCAAGGGTTCTCCGAGCACTGGTTTGTTCTTTTCCTCTTCTGGAGCCCTTCATGTACGTTCATTTGCGGATGCTGACTGGGCTTGTTGCCCTGATACACGATGTTCGATCACTGGCTTCTGTGTTTTTGTTGGTTCTTCGCTGATCTCCTGGAAATCCAAGAAGCAATCCACTGTTTCTAGGTCTTCCTCGGAGGCAGAGTACCGAGCCTTAGCAGCACTATCTTGCGAGTTGAAATGTATATGAAGAACACTCATGCAGAAACACATTCAAACTATACTGTAGACATTGTTCGAATATTTAGGACATCAAGAGAAGGAGAGGCTGAACGCTTCAGAAAGGTGTGTGCGACCAATGCATTATTAAATAAGGATCTTTCTCCCTTAATTTTTCTTCTACTGGGAATATAATTTTGTAATTTAAAGTTTGTTTCCATTTGTCATATTATGATGTCTATATGGAGACATTTTGAATCGAGTCAACTTCTTTTTGACTTTGTATGGCAGTTTTCTAGTACAAAAAATAGGATGCTTTTGTGGCATGGTTCTCGGCTCACAAACTGGACTGGAATTTTATCTCAAGGTCATTCCTTGTCTCATTTGTTACGTTGTCTCTTTGTTTGCTTGCATGTTGACATGCAGTGTAGATATTACATTGTTTGATGAAATAATATATGACTCTGACATGGATGCACCGCCATCTGGTTTGCGCATAGCTCCTCCTGAGGCACCTGTAACTGGCTACATGTTTGGGAAGGGGGTGTACTTCGCTGACATGTTCTCCAAAAGTGCAAATTATGTTAGAATTTGGTATCTACACAGATGCAAGAGACAACCACACTTGTGTATCTACAAAAAAACTTTTCTATTCTATTCTTGCTTTCTTGCTCTTTTTCTTTTTCTCTTGATCTACATTTCATACAAACTATCAAAGGCTATTTATAAGCTATAAAACTGACCAAAATAACTCCACACATAACTGACTCATTAATATTCTAACTGACTCATTAATATTCTAACTGACATAACTGACTCATTAATATTCTAACTGACACAAGAAACTAAAACGGACATTTAAAATTTATCTCAACAAAACTCCCCCATAAATTTTGAATTCTTCTTTCTTTCTTCGAGTTGCTTCTGCTTTTCTTCAACTTTCTGATCGCGCCTGTTTTCTTCAATCTTGATCACTGACAAAAAACCTCTAACACCTTCCAACTTAATTAACTCAAAAGAATATCTCCCCTGTAATTATTTTTCTGAACATATTTTATTTTATCCGGTGGCTTCTTCAATTTGATATTTTCAGTTTCATTAGCCGGACTTTCCTTGTTTCCATTCGCTGCATCTTCTTCACCTGCAAGTTTCTCGTCACCCAAATTCTTCCCAGTTTCATTCGCCACTTCATCAGTTGCTTTCACAATTTTATTTCCTCGTCCAATCCCAATTTCTGCATCATTGGTATTGTCAACAAAACCTCTTTTTCTCTTCAAGACCACATCTTTTTCTTCAAATGCACCTTCCATTTTTTCGCCGTTCTCGGCTCCTTCATTGTCGTCTTCCTCGCACCTCCTCAATGACATATCGGACCAGCGACCTATGCCGGTTGTCGATGTCGACCTCATCACGCCGGGGTCGAAGTCTCTTCCAAAACATGAACTCGGTGATTTAGCCGGGATCTCCCCCATCCCCGTTATCAACACGGAACTCGGATTCGCGATCTCGTCCATGCCGGTCTCCATCAAGCATCTCAGCTTCTCAATCTCCTTTCCGATTTTCGACTCTGTCTCCAGACACTCAGGTTCCGCGAATTCTTCTACCTCGACAATGGACTCGTCGTTCGCAACGTCTTCGATCTCGGCTCCCATAGCCTCAGTCATCGTCTTTTTCTCTGATTCATCTCTCTCACGCTCCAACGCGTCGATCTTCTCCACGGATACGTTGCCGTTGGCAACCTCGAACTCCGCCATCTCGGTCTCTTCTTCATCCGCAAGATTCTCCTCATCTTCATCATCATCATTGATGATTTCATCTTCTTCTTCATCAATCAGATCAAACCGTCCATGCAAGTATTTTGTTATGAAGGCCATTAGAAAATCCTTCCACATATTATTAAAGTCGCGGCAATTCCATGTACGGAACCATTTGATTGCGCTTCCTCTGAGTCTTCTCATGGCTACCTGCCATTTGTCCTCCGTCCAGGTTTTTTCTTTCCGAAAATGTTCCTTCAAACAGAGAAGCCAATCCAATGCTTCATCCTTATCTCCATGGAAGAGTGGCACTTCCATCTCGTTCTTTTCCTCCATAGCCCAAGCTCTGATACCAATTTGTTAGAATTTGGTATCTACACAGATGCAAGAGACAACCACACTTGTGTATCTACAAAAAAACTTTTCTATTCTATTCTTGCTTTCTTGCTCTTTTTCTTTTTCTCTTGATCTACATTTCATACAAACTATCAAAGGCTATTTATAAGCTATAAAACTGACCAAAATAACTCCACACATAACTGACTCATTAATATTCTAACTGACTCATTAATATTCTAACTGACATAACTGACTCATTAATATTCTAACTGACACAAGAAACTAAAACGGACATTTAAAATTTATCTCAACAAATTATTGTTATGCTACTCGTACTGCTACAGATGGGGTGCTCCTTTTATGTGAGGTTGTTTCTTGTCTAATAGTAAACATTATTGCATCTCTGCTCTCAGGAATCGGCATTGAAACTCCAATCATCAATTCACCAATTTGTGCTGCATGTCAAACCTTATTAGTTAATTATAACAGCCCAAGTTGGAGATTATTTTGCATTATTTTGTTATCCTGTGTTGCTAAAATATGATGCGAATATTACATACAAGATTCCATTTAGAAAATTAGGTTAGCAATATGTTCATTATTGATCCACATTTTCAGGAAGTTTAATTTATCTTAACTTGTTTGCTGTATAATATGTCATTAATGATTCACACCTTCAGGAAGTATGATTTATTTTCTGCAATTTTAGGTTGCATTGGGTGATATGTCTGAGCTTCTAACTAGTAAATATGACGCTGATAGATTGCCAGAAGGAAAATCGAGGTTTGTTTCTTAAATTTTGTAGTTGTCGTATCTTGGTTAGTTATTTGGCTTCATAATATCTTAATATTCCTCATTATCTGTTGTATAATTGAGGGATGGGTTTACATTACGTTATGGGTTTCCATGTTTCTCATTATTAGTGATTGTATTCATTATAAATACTATTTTGAGCTTCAGAGAATTCTCTAAGCTATTCCAATATTCCTTGCTTCACTGGCATTGGCATGGTGGTTTGTCTAATTCAATGGCTAAATCTAAATTGATCAATTGATTTTTTTTGTCTTTATGTAAAGTCAGAGTCAATATACAATTTTTCGTGGAGCCTGGCTGGCTTGGTGCCTGCCTCCCCATTTGACTCTAATTAAATTTCAGTTCATTGTTGTTAAATTCACCAGTGAGTGTTTCATATATATAGCTTCAAATATTATGACTTGTATGCTTTACTAGTTGAGTTTATATGCTATGCAACCTCATCTGCAGCACTAAAGGATTATGAGTAACTGCACCTGATTTTTCAAAAGCTCAGGAACTTGAGGACGGGCTCATAGTTCCCCTAGGAAAGCCAAAAAAGAGAGGCTTAAAGGTATGCAGTAGAAGTTAAATTTGTATCATCAGCAGGAAAGTTTGTTTATGATTGCCATTACTTCACATTTATTCTGTATCAATTTGTGTTGCAGGGTGATCTATTGTACAATGAATATATTGTTTATAACGTGGAGCAGATCAGGATGCGGTATATTGTTCAGTAAATTTCAATTTTAAGACTAAAAGTTAGCAGCCAAACTGATTACTTTTGGTATTATAAGCGTGAGTATTTTTCATCATTTTTCATTTTCTAGGAGGATCAGTGTAAAATATTTTTACTGAGAAAAATGAAAAGGTTTGCACTGTGATTAAGAAAGATGAAGGCTAGTTAGTGAGTGTTTTCGCATCTTTGTGATAATATTTTAAGCCAAAAAAAACAAATGGAAACTAGAATGAGATAATTAAGGTAAGAAATGTCAATAACACTATAACTTGCGCTGACTAGTAGGTAGAAGTGTTTCCTTTTTGTTTTACTTTTTTTAAAAAGGAGCCGTTGAGGGTGGGTTTTGCATAGTTTTTCAAAATCACTGTTAATACCTGCAAGTGAACCATCAAGTACTGTGTAAAAAAATGACTTGAAATAAAAATATAGTTTTCGCGTGTTTAAGTGGGCTCATTTAAATTAATATGTGGGCATGTGTGCATTGTTGTAAAAGCGATGAAAATAGGGTTTAATTCCGTTTATCTTGGTCCATATAGGTAAACCAAAAAGGTTAACCGTAAACTACCAATGTAATTGCTGTAAACTATATAGATAATGGGTAAAATTAATATATAAGATAGTGTATGTGAAACAAAATCAAGGTGGGTCTCACTAAAAATTAAAAAAGAAAAAAAAATAAGATGAGATCCACCTTGATTTTGTTTCACAACATAAGATACATTCTCTCATGTGACATAAGATTAGTTTTATTCATAAATAATTATAAACATATTCCCCTAGATAATAATTATAAACTATATTTTAATAGTCTATGTCATCAAGAATTATTGTAGCAATTGTTAGGAACACTTTTGGATAATATAAATAACAATCTTGTATTTCAATACTATCAAGGAGTAATAGTTCGTAGGATCTGCCCAATAATTGATTATATTTTAATAATTAAGTTGTTTAAAATAGATTATTATAATAAATATAATTATGTAAGCACATCAAATCTTATAATAATGCTAATGAACTAATTAAACTGTTTGTCATGAGCATAATTATGTTATATTCAAGAGTAATTATTCAGCTTACCAAAAAAAGAGAGTAATTATTCAAAAATTATTTTTAAAGAAGGGTAATACATTACATCGAATAACAAAAGTCGAAATAACACTAAATTTCATCGTTTATATTTTTTTTCCTTAAAACATGTAAATCCATAATAAACCAAAGAAAAAAATACATGGTTGTTTTACTCTTTTTTTGTTGTAAAAGGTGAGAAAACAATATGATTTTTTTACCGTAATATGTTAAAAATAAATACAAATTCAAGTTATATTAATTTCAAAATTAATTACGGATCTATTAATGAGACTATGGGAGTAAGTAACTTCCACATCCGCTAGGGGTAGTGAGACA